GCTTATCTGCATGAAAAGCCTCAAAACAGGCATTAACAGTGGTAGGAAGTGACTCTTGGCTTTACCAACTAAAGGGGAACTTCAGGTACAAAGCCGGATGTGGAGAAAATGGGCATAGTTATTCCTTTCTAAAACAAACTAGCAGAGTTAAATCCAGCGATAAAATGAACCCACTAGCCTGGATGATAACTTCTGAGGGCTGACATTCGATCACTGATCTCACCTATCCAAACAAACCTAGTATTAGTTGCTCTGTTTTTCTTTCATTATTTTTGAGGCTGGGAAAATTGAGTGCAATTCCTACAGCTTCAATATTTTTCCAATAAGAATGAGCTAGCTTTCTGTACTCATTTTAGCTATGCCTTAACAGAATTCGACTTTGTTTTTAAAATGTTATTTGGGTTTTCTGTGAGAGTAGGTGTGGTGCATGTGTGTATATGTTCATGTATAGATGTGTATGCAAATGTGTGCACATGAGTGTGAAAGTCAGAGGTCCACATCAGATGTCTTTCTCAACCACTTCTCCATCTTAATTTTGAGACAGTCTGTCAGTGAACCTGGAGCTCACTGATTTAGTGAGACTGCCTGGCCAGCAAGATCTAGGAATCCTCCTATTTCTATCTCTCTGGGGCTGGAATTACAGGTGTGAGCCACCACCACACCTGGCTTTTCCACATGGGTGCTAAGGATCCGAACTCATGTCTTTATATTGTGAAACAAATACTTTATGGGCTCTACTCTCTTTCCAATCCTCTAGTTTTGTATTTTAAAATTGACATATACTGATTCATGTGGAATATTCCTTTATGCTGTGTGAATATATGTCACTGTGATTGGTTTAATAAAGAAGATGACAGGCTGCTAGCTGGACAGGATAAGGTTAGGGGGAAAGCTAAACAAAGAATGCTGGGAAGAAGGGCAGAGTCAGAGGGGGTAGAAAGCAGATGCAGAGAAAAGCAAGATGGATATTCTGTACTGAGAAAAGGTATCAAACCACTTGGCAAAGTGTGGATAAAAATATGAGTTAAATGAATATGTAGGAGTGAGCTATTAATAAGCCTAAGCTATTGGCTGAGTATTTATAATTAATATTAAGCCTCTGTGTGGTTACTTGGGAGCGGCATATGGGACAGAAACTTCTGCCTACAGATTCATACATATGTAATCCAATGATAAATAAATTTTAATCTCTGTAGCCCACTAAGCTTGAAGTCATGAGAGTACATGGCTCCTTCTCCCACAGCAGGGTCAATTTAAGATTCTACAGCAGTGGTTCTCAACCTTCCTAGTGCTGGGACCCTTTAATACAGTTCCTTACATTGTGGTGACCCCCAACCATAAAATTATTTCCATTGCTACTTTATAACTGTGATTTTTCTACTGTTATGAATCATAATGTAAATATCTTTGTTTTCTGGTGGTGTTAGGTGACTCCTTGCGAAGGGTTATTTGACCCCAAAAGGAGTTGAGAACCACTGCTCTAGAATGACTGGTCAATCTTCCCTGAAGTTTGCTCCTCTGAGTCTGGGTCTCAAAGTTTCCCTATGTATAGGCTCATTTGCAGAAGGTGACCCATGCAGTCACGACAAAACATGTTGCTTTTGATGTGGTGGTCAGTACCAGGGCTTCTGGGAGACAGTTATCAAGGTGAACTGCTAACGTCTCAGCATAGACAAAAGGGTTACAAAGCCAGGCTGGGGAGACTAAAGCTGCCAGGCGTTTGCTTCATTGAGTCTTGATTTGTGTGAGATCTCTCTCTCTCCCTCTTCTTTCTCCCTCCCTCCCTCTACCTAATCTCTGTGTGTGTGTGTGTGTGTGTGTGTGTGTGTGTGTGTGTGTGTGTGTATAAAACTGAAAATATAGAAGCACACATATATCACACAGAATCTTACATATATTTATAATACCATACATATGGATCACATTGACACACCTATTGCTAATGTTACTTAAAAATCAACTATCTCATTCTTTGAAATACTCTTCTTTGTTGGAAGCAGGCTGTACACCCAGCTGAAGACAACCTTGGACTTGATGCTTTCCACCGCTTGCCTCCACCTCCCAAGTTCTGGGGTTGCAGCTATCTGCTGTATGTCATCACACCAGGTTCGTCAGGTGGGGGAGGACCAGTCCGGAGCTTTGTGCACAGTAGGCAAGTACTCTACCAACAGAGCTGTGTC